AATTTTGTTTGAAATTTTCATTCTTGATAAAACACCAGAGGTGTTCAAACAAAATGGCTATTTTGCGGATTTTATAAACATTTTTTTAACCAACCAAAGATTTATATATATATATAATATAATATATATATATATAATCTCTTTCAGTCAATAAGTTAAAATTTTTTTAAGTGAATTTTATGTGAATTAGTTTCAATGAATTATTGATGATGACAACGTTAAGTAACAAACTGAGTCTGCTTAAGATATTTAAATTGTAACTGAACAAATAAAAACTGGAGTTATTTGATTTGCTTATCATGAAATACAAGTTGACAGCCTGATTAAAAGGTAAATTTGTTCATTGCAATAATTTTCACTACTCTTTCTACATTCAGTGTAGCCATACTGGTACAAGATGCCTAAAGTTGCTTTTATGATAGCTGAATTTTCAGATTGCATGACTTTTTGGTCTTATCTTAGTGTTAGCTTTATGTATATCTTAAAATATATTTGTTTGCAATTTTATAAGCTGCAAAACCATGATTTGAGAATTCATAGATTCAACTTCTTTTAAAATCAAAGAAGCAGATCACTCTTGTCAGGTGAGTAAAAAGTATAATAATTCTACTTTTAAATTATAAAAAAATTTCCTTTTAATAAAACATTTGGGATCAAGATTCAAAGGTTGAATATCAACAGAAATCAAAAATTTGAAATAATAAAATAGGTAACTTTTTTCAATAATTTAATATAGCCATTTCCTTTATAAGGAAACATTTGGCATTCATTGACTGGGTAGCCAGTATTGCTATTGGTTAAAATTCATAACTTCTTAAAACAATTTTTCAGGAAAATAGGTTTCTCAATTCCAGTTACTGATATTGCGCTTTCCACTATTGATGGATAAAAGATTTCCTAATCTTTTATTTGATGTAGTGTGGAATGACATCATTGTTATTATTTTCTCTTTGAGTTACATGTGATATCTATTTTACATGTTGCTGTTGTTTGAAAGTCCTCAAGTGGTGTGGTTTCTGTTAGTTGCTAAAGTTCTTTGTGATGCTGTCATGCCAGTCCACAAGAAGGTTTGTATTCCCCAAGACCCACAGGCTTACTCACTCAAAGCCATTTTTAATCATTGATCTGAGAAAATATGTTATATTGCTAAATATGGGCTGACAGTTTAAAATCTCTATCTTTAACTTGAAATATATATATCATTATGTTCTTTTAATTTTTTTTTTTTTTTTGCAGTAAAGACAAAAATTTAGATTTCTCACCATATAGCCTATTCTATCTTCAATTTCCTCTAAGAATTTTAATTTATTATAAAGATTAATATACAGGAGATATTTGAAGTGTTTAGCATTTACTAATTAAAACATGCTGAATTTTGATAGATTTTCGTTATGTGCCATCACTGCTTTCATAAAGGTCCAAGTCCCATTTATTTGGAAAACGGTAAATGATAAAAAATTTTCTCTTCAAGGTAAACTCTTTCCCAACTATGAATACCTAAGAACGTTGTCAGAATAACACCCCCAAAATTTACTATTAAATTGGTCTCAGAAGGAAAGCAAGATTGATAATTTTTTTATTCATTTGGAATGCTTAAATGATAAGTGCACATTCTCTTCTCACATCCATGTTCCAAAAAAATAATACAGTCTAGGAAAAGATTAAATAGACTAGGGCTCTCATTTTCTCCTTGTCATACTACTGATGGAGTTTGAAATGTTTCTGTATTAGTCCTTTCCGGACATAAGATTTTGTGGACTGATAAAATTACGCTATTAAACTGATAACATTTAGTGTCTTTGGAGCTTTGAAGGTGGTTTCTAATGAATGAGAAGTTGTTATTGTAGGATAACAAATCATAATAAAAAATTAAATGTTTTCTTAAAATATTTTTTTATAGACTACTAACAGCATGGCCCGGTGTTGCCCGTGCTTGATTCAAAAATCACATGACTCGTACAACAATTGCTATCACTTGACTTAAAATATTTTTGCCCTTCCTTTTTTTTTAAAGGAGTGCCCTTTGCCGTGCTGATGTTGCTACATGCCTTACTTTTTTGCCTATCTCACACTGCAAATTTTTTTCTAAGCTCTATACTAAACATTAAATCTGTTACGAAAAAAAAGAACTAAACAAAATGAACACAAAACGATCAGCTTTAAAAAGGACTCGTAACTGGAAAAACCAAATGAAAAAAAGAATGTTAACAACAAATACTTTTTCACACCCAACCCAGTTCTGCGGAATCAGAATCAACGTTGAGTTTAAGCAAGCGAATGAGCCAATTGGAGTAAAGTGCCATGCAGATTTAAATTTTTTCCCACTTGTGACGAATGCAGCTATCAATGTTTTTTTTTTTTTGTCATGCTGTTGGCTCTCACGCTTTGCCAATAGAATCTTCCTGCCTATTCGTGGCAGCCAGCTATAGGCTCTCATCTGGCCAGTAAAAATGGCTGCAAACTACATGAAAACTGCCGTAGAAGCATGAAAAAAATCAATTATTTCCACTATCGATGGGAGTTGGGAAATGCGAAGTTGGTCTTGGCCTTCCCACTAACTTGGAGCATGTGCATGTAAATTTTGGTGCAAATCCGTCGTAAATTGTGGCCGTGCATTCGTCACACACACACACACACACACACACACACACACACTGCCTTTTATAGATAGAGATAGAAATTTAATCATTACAAAATCTTGTAAGTAAAAAAAAAAAAATGTTCTGAAATATTTTTGTTTTTATTATTTAATAAATGCTTCTGAGCTAGAAGAAACTTCATTTTATGATGGAGATATTCTGCATTTTTTCTTTTCTTTTGATACAACAAAATTCAAATTAGATTAAGTTCAAAATCTAAGAGTGCATCCTACCAATCTTTAGAAAATCTATTTAATTTTCTAATTCCTTTGTAGATAAAATATAAAGTTTTCAGATTGCAGGATTAACTAGTTAAATTTACATTTTAGATGCATCAAGGGTGGTCTTCAGTGATGTACTGTTAATCATTATTCCAATTTGGGGTAGAGCATCATATTGGCTCCAATAGCAGTTTTATACCTGATTCTTTCTTGTCTATTTTCCAGTAAAATTGACCTAATAATATATAAATAAATAATTTAGCTGGTTCAATTAAGTAACCTATACACATATTTACAATTGATACATATTTTTTAAAATAAATCTAATAATTAGTACTAGCATCAACTCCTTAAAAAATGACTATTATTACTACAAAAATATATCTTCCTCCCCAATTCCATTCATAATAAATATGCAATTTACTTTAGGGTTGAAATAAAATGGGTAGATGTCTTTAACAAAAAAAATAAAATAATGGCAAAAAAAAACTCCTGTCCAGACCCCCCAATAAGGTAATGATTCTCAATGTTTAATTATAACAGTTCGACTAATTTAACTTAATATATTGTCTCAATATTCCCTTATAAATTTTAAACACATTGTTTTCTAAATGATTCTGAAATTTTTCCCTTGTCGCCAAAATTAGTTCTTTCCATTCTGATCTCTTAAGCAAAATCCATTTGACAAAGTAATTAGTAATGTCCTTCAGTGCTCTCCTACCCTAAATGCCCCCATTATGCCTATTTTTGGTAGGGCTCTGCACATTAACAATTTCCAGCAAAGCCCCAAAAATATAATAGGGACAGGATCATAGTAATTTACAAATGACTTCTGCTGACATTATAAATATTTTATTGTTGGAAAAATGTATTTTCTCTCCAGTTTTTACAAAGTTAATCTGATTCAATTTTTTCCTGGTTGATGCAACTAGCCCTTATAGCTTTAGTCATTTTGTTCACAATTGCTTTTGAATGCATTGGTCATGACGCCTAATGATACCTACCATCACCCAAAGCTTTTTGGGCAACTACTGAGGATGTGTTAAGGATCCTTTCCTTTCACATAGTTGGCAATTATTAAAAATCTCTTCCCCCATATATCAGGTCAAATGGGCCTCAGTCATCAATCATATACTGATTTGATGAGAAATCGAATCTCACTAAGATTGGACTGCCAGCAATCTGACCATGTAATTCTTTTCTATAACTTTTCTTTCAAAAATATTTTTCACTACATCTATTAAATCATGTATTTAAAAAAAAACAAATTCAAACTTATAAACTGCAACAAACATGAAAATACTTTTCAATTTACTAAATAAATGTCGTCTTCAGCATTTGTGTTATATGCAACAGTTAAACCTCCTCTCTAAAGTAGTTAGGTTTTCCTAACTAAAAATAGTGGAAATTATTGCAACTCTTTCTCTGAAATTGGTTACAGCCAGAAAGTGTATACAATCGATTCATGCTCTAAAATAAGTTTGGTATTGTACCTGGTTTATACCCACCCAATACTTGTTGCGGAAATGAATGTGCAGTAAAATTCTGCATTAAGGATGATGTCTCTTAGAGATTTAAAAAGAAAACAAAAAAAAAAAAAAAATAATAGTTAATTAACATGTACAAAATGAATCAATATAATGTGAAACAAAATTACTCATTTATTCGTTATTTTTATACCACAGCATTCTTGATATAATGGAGGAAGATACCAAGAGTACCAGAGAAATTTTTAAGATTTTTTTCTTTTGTTTTTTTTTCTTCTTCTTCTTATCTTTCAATTTCAAGTGTAATGGTAATATTAGGCATTTCCTTATAAGGAAACATTCGTTATTCAAGCAGCCAGTACTAGCGTCAGTTGAAATTTTATAAAATCTTTCTCTTAAGTTTTGCAGGAAAATAGGATTCTAAAGTCAAGTTGCAGTTGTATTCCTGGTAATTTCCTTCCTAACGTAATCATCTTGATTATGTCTATATTTTCTTTTTGAGTTACACTGGACATCCATTTCTAAAGAAGTTGAGTTTTGAGCATTTTCTTTATAAATACAGTTGGAAGACAAAAATGTTCAAAATGTCTGTGAATGTTGAGTAACCTGATCCTTACTGTTCAGCGTCAAAAAGCCCTACTTGTAGACATTGGTTATTCTAATGGGGGTGGTGCTGATTGTTGCTTCTTTAACCATTCTTCATAGCCTCCATAATAATGACGGGCTCTATGGAAAAACAAAATGAATATATGAAATGAGCAAACCATAAACTACTTTAATAAAATATATTCTCCAGGATATAAGCACATAAATCTTACACTACATGCAAAGAACTGATATAAAGTTTTGGTTACAAAAGCTTGAAATAGTTAAGTGTTGTCTGGATTAACTACAATAATTCTCAAATACTCCCTATAAACTGTCTTACATGCAGGCAAAAATAGTAATTAACAAAATTCAAGGAAAAGTGGACCCTTAAATGTCATTTTGATAATTCAATCTTTGTTTCTTGTTTGCTGAAACAATATTTGTCATTTAAAAAAAAAAAAAAAAAAATTATGGATTTGACTTTTTTTCAAATTAAAATAAAAACAATTGTCTTTCTTTGATAAAATGGATTTCTTCTTTACATGAAAGTAGGAGCAAAAGTTTGAGAATGCTTCTGCTTTATTTCTGGAGATTAATATGAATTTGGAGATAAAATATTTTGAAACATTTTTTTTATTTTAATCAACATCTGTGCTAGAAGATAAATAGTATAATTTTGCAAAAAGTTAATATACAAGAGATATTTCTGACTTTTCAATATAAACTTGTACTAATCAATTTGTAACTTTTGGTCAAAGACAGATATCTAAATTTACTGTATTTAGTTACTCACTGAGTTTTATTGTTAGAAATGTAGAATTCACACAAGTTCTACTGGAATTCTGTTCTTTAAGATTCAAAATATATTTTCTCTCTAGGCAATTAACTTTTCAAATTAATTCAGAGAAACTTAATGTTCATAAATTTTAGAAAATACCTGTTTAACAGAATCCTGTTACTTGCTGTTACCTTGTGTTAGTCGTAAGAATCTTCTTTACTTATGTGACTTAACCCTTTAGTCTTGTGGAAGGAGAAAGAATAAAATCTTAAACAAATTTTAAATGACTCCTATATGTACTGATGCGATATGTATATTACTTTGTCATACTACTGTGCTAGGTGTATACTTTATTTCAAATAGAATAATAAAAAAAAAAATATACAGTTTTGCTTGACATTTTTAAATTTATGTCAATGGTTGAAGTTACAGCTGATACTTTCTTCTGGATTCAATGAAGGAAAGACAAATTGTCTCTAATCTTTTACTGATATAAATTAATGGTTAAAAAGAATGGTTTTGAGATTAACAAAGACAAAATAAATCAAATATAGGAAAAAAGAAATATACTTACTTTTTAAAACCAGCTCTATGTGCAAGCTCCAGGGCTGTACTGCTCTTAATATGGCTTAATCCAACAAATACAATGTTGGTGTCTTGTTGCTGAGGTTTGTCCACTTGATATAACTCAAAAAATGCATGTTTTTCCATTGCTAAGGCATCTTTTATTTGTCCCACTGGAATTTAAAAAAAAAAATACAGGAACAAAATCAAATATTAAGGAACTTTTAAGTCATTTTTATTCCTTATCCATAAACAAGAATGCCAGAGCTTGACAAGATATTTCATTCAAACTTTAATTTTCTATGATTTTACCTCATTCACAAAAGCTGATTATGGACAAGTCTCTCGCACCACACCTCTCATATCTTTTATCATCGTAAGCAAAGCAATAATGCCACTAAGAGTGAGGGGTTTACTGGTAGAGAATGGGAATCCTTTAGTGAGGAGAAAGTATAATAAAAACAATATTCAGGAAGACAAAAGATGTTGATTAGCATTACATTTAAGTATAGGTAGAAGGGAAGAAAGAAAAACCTTAAGTCCCACAGATCAGAAGTGCAAAAAAAAAAAAAAAAAAACTAGAATAGAACTTGCAGTTATATACAACTACTTCAACAGTAAAATGATGAAACTTACTTGTTAATTTAGTAGTACACTTAAATTCATCCAGTTGATAATACCAAGGAGGAGCAGAGCTCAGAACAACTGTGATGAAAATATAGACAAATGTGCCAATGTGACTGTTAAAAGGATGTTTTTTTTTTCCCATGATCCAATTTTTTTTTTTTTTTTTATAACTCCTTTCATTCTTTGGCAATGGTTAGTTTTAAAAAGCGATGATTAGAAATGTAATAAAAACTAAGCATGAAAGTGAATTTATACATTTTTTGTTCTTGAGAATTGACAACAATAAACACTATTTATTCAATTGTTTATTTATACTTTATATTATTTATTGCAATGATTGACAAAAGATTGGCTAATTGCCAGTTGATTCAAACTTTATAAAATGGTAAATAAGGATTTCCTTATAGTTAGTTCACATATTTTAATAATGTAGCAAATATTTTATAAATTTATGAATAAAAAGGCTTTTCACATTAAATGATAAATATTGCACTGTATTGTTTTTAGAATATTGTAAATATAAAATTATTTTTGTAAATTTTTCAAGAACAAAAAAATAAAAAACATCCTTTTGATACACCCTATTGCATGCATATTTGTCAAAATATTTATAGAAAAGGTAGTGGGGAAATTGACCTAGTTAATAGACCAGGTCAAACTGGTAACATTGTATACTCTTTGAATTTTGAGAATCTTGAGATATATAGCAGTAGCACCAGACCAGCTATGACAGCAATATTTAATGCACAGATGGAAGGTAGATTTATAAATGTACAAGATGAATTTTGATGACAAAAATTGTCTGGTGTGACACATTGAGGCACCTTTCTTAACACTAGACTGAGCAATTGATTCAATATAATGACTCCACTTTATGTCAATAGAAAACGTGTGGCCAATAAAGCACAATAAGTTGCTCTCTTAGAGGTTAGCATCAGCCATGCTGATGGAAGCCAAAAATGATTCTCTATGATTATTAAAAGATAGCAGTTTTGTTTTGCAGATGTTAACCAGGACAAGAAATGGCTTGATTGGAGATCATTTTCTAGAGCAGCTATCAGTTTTACTTTTTCAGACTTACTATTAAAATAGGAGTGAATAGTTGTCATCAGCATAAATACCGAGTTAGGAACAGATGACATTGGCAAGATTGTGGAAGAAGATAAACAATATAGGTTCAAAGATAGAGCCTTGGGTAGCACCCACATTAATGTGAAGTGATCTAGAAGTATGGCTGTTTAACATGATCTTCATTAAATGATTTAAGAACAATTGTTCTTAAGCCAAATATTTGATCAGATACTATTGCCATTGAGCTTAAGGCCAGCATACTAAACCCTGTCAAATGCTTTTGATATATCTAAAGCCACAGCCCAATCCTTGGTGTTCTTATCTAAATATAGACAAATTCCATAACTGAACCATTTTATATTTATAACTGAGTAATTAGCTCAAATATCATTGAAAGAAAGTTTGATCATTATTTAAATTTAGAATGTTTCCTAAGACACTGGCAAATATCTAACTCTTGATTTAAAAAAAAAAAAAAAAAAATTGTTCATCTATTTGTATTTTGCATCCATTTTATCTGAGGAAGCTTGTTTATCTATAACAGCTATTTCACTATTTGAGCTATGAAAGCTAACAGTACAGAAAATCAAATGTCATGATATTGATTTCTTTATTTTCCCCCAAACATTTGGTGCCACCATAATTTTTTTTTTTTTTTGTATACACTAATGTAATAAATTGTTATTTCTTTGTTAAATAATGTTTCTCCAGTAGTTGAAATTAATCTTATGAACACATTTAAGTGTCAAAAGCTGGAATTGCAAATGGTAAGACCAGTGTTGTATTGAAACTGCAGGATGGAATGCAAAGAACACCAATCATGCAACCCGGTTAAACTTGATGGAAGTGATATGGTTGTTGAAGTAGATGAAACCTATTTTGGAGGGAGGAAATATAACTGAGGAAGGGTGCACAAAGTATGGTGGATATTTGGTGGGGTTGAAAGACTCTGGAAGGTTAAAAATGTCTAACCAGTTGCAGATAAGACAACACCAGCACTGCTTCTAGCAATTGAAGAATACATTTTGTCAGGAACACAATTTTAAATTTTAGATGATTTGCTGTCATAGTGGTATTCCCCCACCCAATAGCTGGTAAAAATTAGACCTGTAATTATACACAAGGTAAACCTTGTCTACCCAGTAAATAGGGAGATACATACTCAACATATTGAGGGTTTCTAGTCTCACATAAAATTAAAAGAACTTTTGGTTCACAGGAAGAGATGCTCTCAACCTATTTTAATGAATTTGTGGTGAGAGCACATGAAAGAAATGCCTGGGAAATAAACTTTTTTCAAAATTTATAATTAAAGTTACTGATTGTTATGTGTTTAAATTTTCTTGTTCAGACATTTTTATAAATTTATGAATAAATTTTTGTATTTTATGAAATGGTAAATTACTTGATTATAGTTGGTTCACATTTTTATAATCTTTTAAATATAAAATTATTCTTGTAAATAAGCAATCTATTAAATAAATAGTTTAATAGAACAAAGAAAATGTATAAATCCACTTTCAAATATGTTTAGGTTTCTTTATTAAAATTCTAATCATCACTTTTTAAAACAAACATTGCTGAGGGAGTCAAAGGAGTATAAATTAATAGCAGTATCAAGAGAGTAACCATCCCTTTGACATTTTATTTTTGTAGGAACAAAGCTTAAATGTTGCTAAAATTTGTTAAGTTTCTCTGTACTAGTATAAACATAGGATTAAACTGTAAATGAATCTACTTGACATTTTTAAACTCATTGCTTCTATTTAGTAAATGTTAAAAAAAGTTTCTCAGGATTTGCATTTACATACAGGAGAGATGTGATATTATTCACTTGTTTTACTCTCATTTGACATCTATATCAATAAAACAGAAGATGTGTGTGTGTTTGTGTATGTTATTTATGCATGTCCACATTTCTTGACTGATTTTGATGAAATTTTACATGTTGAAAATTTACCAAAGTAGGTCAAGACCAATGTTTCAATCAACAGCCCCCAACCCGGGTTTGGCAGAAAAATCGATAAAAGGTGGGTAAGAATTTTTGCAAAAACCAAGGCAAAGTTACATGCGAACAAAATTTTTACTGGATGAGCTGATGTTCTTTACACTTACTGCAAAACATCAGCTCATGTTCTGAGGTTTAGGTAGGGTGCTCGATAGTTTTCCTGTTACATTGGCTTCACACAAAAATTGCCATTAACTGAAAAAAAATCAGGGTTTTTGTACTAAAAAAGTTGATTCTCATTTTTTATTCAATTTTCTTCAAACATGTCAGAAAAAAATCATGCAAGAAATAAGATACTGTGGTTTTAGCCCTGTTCACTTCCCTGCATATAACAAAAAACCACAAAACTGTTCAAAGAGCTTATTTTTCAGCCATAACTCCCTGGTTTTTCATCTGATGCTTTTCAAATTTGCCATGTAAATTACATATGATACACAAATTGTCTAGTGTCAATGTTTGGTTTAGATTATTTCAGTTAAGTGGACAAAATCTGTGATAAACTAGGTCCAAAATCAGCTTTTGCAATTTAGCCAATAGTTTCTTCATGTGATTTAATCCTAAATTTGCATTTGAACAACTTTTGATGCAAAGATAGTTTGAGAAGTATTATTGAAGTGTTAAAAGGTGAAAAATTCCTGAAGGACCTCTTATTAACCCCAGCTTTACAGTAAACATGTGAAGAAGGAGGGAACATTCATGTGTTTGCAGTTGATGTTTCATCCCTCCTTTTGTTTGATTATGAGGTTTGTGAACATTGCCATACTATTTAAAAGTTATTATGGCCAGGAAATTTACTGAATATCTAAAGCAATTTAACCCCAGGCAACAACCACACAAGAAGGTTTGATTAATGGAATTCCTTTATTAAGAACAATCAAACACTTGTGAAGGACATACCATAAAAAGATGAGGGGGGAGTCGCTTAGTATACCAACAAATGATGAATGCAGGCAGACATTCCTAAATTGCAGTTATAAAACTGCAGCTATGTATTCCAGGGCAATGCCAGGTACATCGGCTAGTTTAAATATACTGATTGACAATTGCTCAAAGGAAATGCAAATGCTAAAATAAGTAATCACAGAATTACACAATGTCATCTACATTATGTTCAAATAGTATGAAATGTCTTTCACCACTAGAAAGCTGATATGGTAAGATAGGAAGTTCTTTATTTTAGTGTCTTCAAATCATTTCAAGAATGCCAATATGATTCATAAGCTACTCCTTAGATCAGTCAATATTGGGCAATTGGAATGGTGTAAAGATTTTTTAATGTATGTGTTTATCAAATTGTTTTGTGCATGCATTTTGATCTTGTATACATATTTGTTGCATTCTTTTTTTTTTTCTTTTTTTTTCCAAGTTTAATTTTATCTTCTCCCTTTATAGTCTTAAATTTGATTAATGAGGGTAAAAGTATTTATTCAGGACATCAGGTAAAAAAATGAAAATATTGATCTCTTCAATGTACAATCTGAACAAATTCAGATAATTATTTAATGTACTTAAATGAATAATTTCATCAATCATAAAATATCAAATGTGCCATGTCGCCTCTAAAATAGGCTGTACAAGCTGAAGTTAAGACTACAAATAATTATTATATTTATTTTTTACGTAAATCTTTTATGGTATTTTTTCTATTTAAAACAAAAAGTACTTACAGGGTATATTTATAGCACATGGAATTTTACCCATGTCTAAAATCTCTTTTGGTTCTCGCACATCAAATAACTGAATATCTCCACAGTCAATGAGAGCTTGCAAGTCATCATAGGAAAGGTTTGTCCACTTGTCATAATGACTGCCTGTACTGTAATAGTGATGCCCACCTGAAATGAATATAAAAATTGTTTTTCTTAAAATCAGCATCTAAAAAGAACACAAATGAAACTAATAATTTTTGTTTTAAATGAATGCATAAAGTTTAGACATAATTAAAATTAAAAAGGCACAGATATTTTTTATCCCTTTCCCACCCCACAAAAAGCTGCTCCAGTGATCATTGTCTGAGGATTGATTTATCAGTTCTCAAATGTCTACATGTCCATTTGACACTTGTTTTCTGATCACTCCACAATTAATATTTTTTGTAATCATAATTATGTTAAAATATAAAATCTGACATATGTATGACTCATCAGGTGAATATTAGTTTATTTTTTTTTTCCTAAATTTTCCTTGTCAAGTTGTGCGTGTGTGTTATGCAGTTGGTAGTGTGGTATGTTCATCAATGTTCAATATAGAACTTTTGTAGAACATGATAATGAGTTGGTGGTGGGTCTAATAAATATTATAAAATACCCATATTTCAAGTATTTATTTAAATAAACCTTTGATATTCAAATCAGTAAATAATGCATGTTAGAAAATGCCAATTAAAAAATCAAAGAACTTAATCACTTTCTTTCAATCATGCCATCTTTCGAATCTTTAAACTGTAAAAAAACATGATAAATTGAATGGTGGAAATTAGAAAAGGAGATTACTTCATTTTAATGCAAACAGTTGATAAATCAATGTGCCAGGTGTAACAGCAAAATTGTCCATTTGATAGATTAAACTTTGAACCATTGTATCTTAGAAATGATTAAAGATATCTTACTGGAATTTTCCAAGGTTTTTATAGCACTATTGGACTCTACTTTGCACAATAAGAATGTGTAAATAGCAAGGTTCATCTATATTTGAATATAAACCAAAATAGTTTCACAATTATCAATTTTTTTTCTTTCACTTACATCTTTTGCCTTAAATGCTGTAGATATAGGAAATTCTGAAACCTATCTGTTTTTCATTCTTTTATGAATACTGATTGGTAATATCTACCATAAATATTATCTTTTTGTTTGTTGATCAATTTATATCTCAAGTATATGGCAATTCTTTAGTAATTCATTTTAATGGATCTCAGCACAAAAACTGTAATTTTGACTGCGGTTGCTGTTTTCATGGTGTACACCTTGGGAAAACCTGAATCCATTTTCTGTGTTGTGTTAGATATCTTGACAAAAATTCTTGTCACTGTCATATCCTAGTGGTTGGAGAACTGGATGAGTGAACACTTGGCAAAACCACTTTCCCATAACTACCTTGCTGCTCAGAGTAAGAAAAATAAAAAGCTGTTGTAATCTTTGTCCAGTTTGACAAGAGCCAATCAGTTGTTTCCCCCCCCCCCCAAACTTCATTGTAATCCAGAGTTAAAAACTATTTTTATAACCATGTGGCAATATTTACTTTTACATTTTACAGAATTTAATATGTCAGGGAAATTAAAAAAATGATAATTTGATATTTTGGTAGTAAATTATATCTGGTAAAAACCCTGAGAAGTAAAGGAAAATAAGCCACAAGCTGGAGGAAAATTTTTTTTTTTCATTTTGAAATTTTCAAAAGGAGTTTCCTAGATAAACAAACATCACTATAAATTCTTATAGTTTTATTATGGATTATTTGAGTTATGCTGTTTGATTTATAAAAAAAGATCTTATTAAGTGAAGAAATTCTATAAAACAATTCATTTTTTTTATATACAAAAGGAATACACTACTGAAGACAGTGCTGAAAAATGAAGTCCAATCAGAAATTACACAACTGCCAAATTAAAGTAAAATCATTTGTATTTTCTTTTATTTCATGATTGTTTATTTTTTTTTATCTGCTGAGATAAACACAATATTTATTTCACAGTACACGTTCATTTATTCATTTCTTAAAAAGGTGATGGATTTTAGGTTAAAAAATTCAGCGAGTAGCGGAAGATAATGGAATAAAACTAAATTTTAAAATCCTTGTTTATTAATAAATTTATAAATAAGTATATTATCTAAATTAAAAAAAGAACAATTGAACTTTGTTCTTTTTGATTATTTTTATTTTGTTTCTTTTTGTCAACTCAAAATTTCATTAAATACAATCTTTTTTTCCTTTCAACTGAAATATAAACTCAAATATAAATAAGTTTCCACTTAAGCATTTAAGTTTTGAAATACAGATTGCTAACTGACATTAAAATATTATTTTGCAGTTTACTTCTGAATCTGGTAATTTCAGAAGATAGATAAAAAAATGAAAAAGTATTTATCTGGTCATTTGCAATACAGCAGCAGAATGTTTACTTCTCTGGCCACTTTTGCTTTAATTCCTCATTAAATTTTGTATTTAGCCTTCAACTTTACAGACTTCATATTCTAAATGTGATCATATTTGATACAATGTACATCAATGTACAAATACTTTCAGGCACAAATCTGAAATCAAAATATGGAATTTTATAGACAGAATTGACAAATTGGTAGTACTCATTAAACACTTATCTTGGAAAGAGGAAAATTAGTTCAAACTAGTTTGTTCATGGTCAGTTTGAAGTTTATGCTGGCTATAGTATTGTAAAGCATTCAGGGAAAAAATTAATAAAAAAAACAAAAACAAAATGTACTTTTAGTGGATAATGCTTTTTTAAGGCAAATAGTTTTTCTAATTAAAGTGCTCAATATAAAGAAAGAAAATGTTAAAAACTTATCTTGACTCAGTTTACATCTATGCAAAAAACTCTCACCAGCCAAGTTCCAAAATCAAAACACTTTAAACTTACTACCAGTCTAGTGTTTTCTCAATGTTTCTTTCACATAGTACTGAAAAGATTGATATTTTGGTTAAATATTTTAACTATGGCTATTCTTTAATATGGACTGAAAACTATATTTGTACTGGCCTAAATCAGATCCTCTGTCCCAACATGTACAATAAAATTATAAATACTTATATTAAAAACATAATGGAACTAAGTAAGTCCTTGGTTGGCTTAGTAGGTTTTCATTAAGTTCATTCTTTGGTGTAAGGTCAAATGTAGTAATAGGTAACATTTCACTAATTTTTCTCTCACAAGCTTCTTTTATATAAGCATCAATGAATTTTAGCAGATTCATTTTTTTCTTTTTGACATGGAGGGATTTATTGTCACATTTCTGCTTTGTATGCACTTCCATGTCAAATGCCATTTTGCCAGACTGCTATCTGGCAAAAATACAATGTGTTATTGACAGGAACTTCTACTTCCATACCAGCCCCCTCCCATCTGCTGCTAATGTCATGAGCCAACATAAAAGGAGTCATTACTTTCAGAATGACTTTTTATCTGTTCATCTAGTAAACTTTGCTTTTTGCACTTGTGGCTCAAATGATTAAACTATTTGCTGAGAAGTCTAGAACCTTACTTCAAGTATTAAGCTGCAAAAGAAAAAATGTTATGAAATGGTCTGATCTTTTCAAATCACAAAAATCTGAATCACATGAGATTCATGATTATCTGAATTATCTAAGTAATGGACAATGTTTAAGAAACAAAACAATTTTGAGAAATTGATGTCATATAGGATGTATGGGTCATGGAATGGATATATGTAAAAAGTGGAATTGGAGAGTCAAAGTTCAAATGCTGGCCTAACATGTTGCATTCACTTTTCGATTAATACCTTTGGAAAAGGCATGAATATGTCTTTTCTCCCTAAAGCTATGGGTTCAATAACAGGGTAGACTGGCATCTCTTGCTTTCAGTAACAATCAATCTAAGACAAGGAAAACTGAATTCAAACTGTATTGAAGGTAAGAAAGAATTCACTCCAATACACTATATACTTCCCAAAGAGGCATCACAATAAAAGAATTAAAAAAAACTAATCTGTTGTAAGTAATAATAATCACCTATGTATGGATGAGCACAGCATTTAAAAAATTAAAGTTGCTCTGATCTGAACAGATTTGAAATTGGTTTCAAAAGCTCTATACTGTGCTTTCTTAGTCTTGTCAAAAATCAAATGTCAAGTGTTACAATCATATTGAAAAGGATTCAAGTTGCTAGCATGACTTCATCTGTCTCTTGAAATCCATAAAAATGTTTAACAAGTTCAAACACAGCTTTATGCAGCATTATTCTCTTTGTTTCAATGCAAGTTTCTATAATGTTTTCATCTTTTGTTAATCTCTTCAAATTAACATTGTCAGATTCCACAATTCAATTTTGCACTGGTGGTATATTGATTTCTTCACAAATAGCCACATTCTCTATTAAGTCAATATAAGACAAGAATAGGCTAGCAAGTGAAAATACAGTGTGGGGATGAAAAATAAGTATTAAAGGCAGAACATACTATTTTGCAAGTATTATTTCCTCAACCCTACATCTACAAACAAATCTCAGGAATACTGTAGTTATAATCCTTTAAGGAATATAAAAGTCATAATTCATCATAGGCTTAAATTTTGTAGAACATAAAAACAAAACTTGGTATACATTAAAGAAATAAATATCAGAATTTCTAATAAAGTCAGTTATGAGTTATTTCCATCAGAATGCCTCATTGTTACAACTACCTAGCAGTTGTAACATGAGCAAGTTAATCCTAATCATTAATTTATTGTCCTATCTCATATATTGGTTGCTACTATTTGTAGTTAATAAAAAGAAAAAGAAATTAGGATAACAAAGCACTAATAGTTTATGACATATCAACCAATTTTGTTTTTTTTTTAATATTTTCCTGTTTTGTAAACTACTTACTATTGATCTGGTTACTTTAGAATGACTACACTGGTAGCAGTAGTGCTGCATCATGTATTAACAATAATGTGGTAGATGCCCATTATAATATCAAGTAAAAATATCAAAAGATTTTTTAATTATTCGCATTGATCTCTGTATTATTATCATATATGGTTTGATTAGCAAGCTTAAGCTAAAAATCTTGATATAGGTTGGAATACTCAGTACAGGTTTCATATTTTCAACCTTGTAATTTGAAAATATTTTTAATATCTGAAACTAAGAATTGTT